GATGTGCAGAAACAAAGAATACAGACTCTCAGTAGTCCTAGATTATCGGTGAGCCCGGTCTGGGCACACCTAAGGTTCGCCACTTGATTTTAGGCAAGATTTCAAGGTAAAAATTTTAAACTAATATAGAATAAGGAAATTAGCATTCAGCCAAAAAATAACATAGAAATTTCTTTTCAAACAATTCCTTTGATACCCTAAAAATAATCTGGAAGTTTTCTTTGAAAAATGAGGGTCTTAGAAAACTAAACATGGCTAAAATATATGGACTGGTTTGTGTTGAGCTGCCATCTACTATAAATAAAGAAGGTTCAGAGTAACCTATAAATCCTTTTTCATTCAATTTTTCTGTGCGTACAGAGAGAAATTTTTAGGTGTGTCCAGACCGGACACACTGTGCCGCAAAGGGTTAATTATTTCCTAATTTTTTCAGTAATTTTACACCATTTCTGTTCCGGAATTTTTTTCAGTTTTAGATTTTGATGAAATATTGTTTCCTGATCCGTATGTCCAATGTTTACCATATATAGGCAATTGGATTCATTCTGCGAGGATAGGGAGGCACCTGATCTTGTCAAACCGACTGTAGAGTGATGTATTATTTATGTAATTTTATAAACTTACTGTATAATTATACGAACTTCTAATGAACAAAAGTTATAATTTTTGTTTACTGTAAGTTTTTGGATTTCCCTCAAAAACTATTGCACACTATATATAGGTTAGAATATATTAAGGGGACTCGTACACCTTAAAACCCATAAGATCTTCGCATATGTGACTGTTGCAAGAATTGGGATTACTTATTGATTTTAAAAGAAATTACTTTCAACATTTTACAGCTGATCACATAATATAGCTGCTTTCTAAAGTAGTAATCAGAAAGTTTGAATTGCGGCAAATATTTTTATAATTTAATCCGCTTTGTGACAAAATATTTCGTCATGTTTCCACCTCGCGCGCACAGTTTATGACATTCTGTTGCATAATTTAATTCGATATTTAATAAGAAGCATTTATAAACTACTGTGAACCAAAAATTCTAAGAATTTCATATTAAATTTTTATTTTGTTTGAAGTTGAGTTTATGAAATTTATTTTATTAAAAAAATCTGTAATGTTTTCTTGCATAAATTTTTTTAATACTAAAATATTCATCAGATTTTTGGTTCAATTAGAAAATAGCGTCCATATATTCAGCTGGAAAAAGTTGGAAGTAATTCCTTTTTAAATAAATAAAATATCTAAATTCTTGCAAAAGTCATACATTCGAAGATCATAAAGGGTTTAAGGTGTATGAGCCCCCTTAAGTTATGGATAATTTTTCGAATTACTACATTTCCATGTATATTTCTGTAGCATCTTCTTGTTTCTCAAAATATTTTGTTGTGTAAATTAAAATTTTAGTTGTTTTCCCAGTTCTAAAATATTATTCAGAATTCTTCACTTTATTAAATTGTTATTTGTTTGCACAATTTCTTATCTTTCATTCGTTGTAACTTAATAGTGTCCAGTGTATGTTTAACTTCATTTTAAATATATTTATTTCCTGATTTCTTGATAATAGTTTCAGAATGAAGAGCGTTTCACCAAGCATTTGAAAATATTTATGAAAGCATAAGGGTTTTTAAGATTTAACTGTGCTGAAATCATTCTTTATCTAGCACTGAAAGAGTAAAATACTTAATATGCAATTCGCGAAGACTAGATTAAAACTCATTAACATATTAAAAAAATCTGATGTGGACAAGGCAAAATCGTGTTTCGAAACTAGTAAACCTTTAAAACAAAATCTGTTGTGGACACCACATAACTTCCTTGTTATGAACTAATAAATAATATACCTTTTTTTTTTTTTTTTTTTTTTTTTTTTTTTTTTTTTTTTTTTCTGCATTTCGTTTAAACTTATTTCCTTGAATTTCGTTAGACACATTTCTCAGTCAATGAATTCAGTTCTCACTTCGCGGCAAGTAAAATTTGAAGGCAAAAATACATGAAGACTCAAAACATCTTCATTAAAAATTGTAAAGTATTAAAAAAATAAAACACCAAATATAGTTAGAAACAATTAACAAATTAATTTCGCAATTAAAATTAGAGTTTCTGAGCGAAAACACGCAATTTGGCCAGCGGGTACGAAAAAAAAAAAAATTCGGTGCCAAAAACTCGAAGCTCCCACTGGACAAAAAGACACTGAAGTTGGTGCACAAACCGACTTTACGGCTTCGTTAGGCTTAACTCTCTATTTTTAAATTGTTGATAATTCTATAACTATTGCATTCATATTAACTAAAAGCATAAAAACTTTAACTCGAACAAAAGAACGGCCCACCAGCGGCCGAGCGGTAAAGTCGCTGAACACTGGTAGTTCGGTCCGAGATTCGAATCCCGCGAACGGGCTGGCTGCATGGGTGTTTTCGTGGTTTTCCCCATGTGTAACGTGTGTACGAGCCAGGTTCCCTTAGAAAGTCCTTCACGAAGGCATCCCTCCCCTTAGGCAGATAGCCCTAGTCTGATTTTGCCATAATTAAATAAATCAAACCGAACATAAGAACAATATAATTCATTCACTTTTAAAGACAAAAATGCACAATTTACCAACATATAAGAAAAATAAAACTGAGCTCACCGACGAAATTTTTCGTGATTACGATACTTGTTTTACTTCGTACAAGGAAGTAAAAATAGCAATAAGAAATAAATAAAGAAACGAAGATTATGAAATGCGTGTTGTCAAAACGTGAATTTCACCATTATTGGAAAACATAACAGCTACTTTCGGGTGTTAATATGATTCAATTTGTAATCCCTCCATTATCAGAGAAAAGTGAAGCAGTTGAAGAATAGCAAAATGCGTTTACACCTTCTAACATCTAATTGCAGACGTCAAGAAAGTAAATATTTACAACTTAAATTAGTTTTTAGAACACATTTTTAACACGTTTCTATAAAAAAACAATTAAAAGAAAGAATAAGATATCTCCAATAGGAATCAGCTCGACTACGGTTATATTCCATGAAATTTTCTTGCATAGAGAATAAAAATAACCCTTTGTTATTGTTTATAAAATAGATTATTTTATTTGCGATAGATGAAGGGTTTTCGAATTCTTTTCATTATCTTTACATCACAACCCACTTGCTGTCTCGAGAAAAGAAGCAAATGTCAACAAAGAATTTGTTTACTTAGTTTTACAGTTAGCCCTGTTAAGATTTTCCCTAAATGTTTTAGGAAGAGGTTACTTGGCTTACTAATTAAAGTAGATGCATTAAGATATACGCATATTATTTAAAATAAGATAAAATAAGTTGACAGTTTTTTAGTATTATTTTCAGTTTTATAAATATGCAATAATGTGTATTCAGTATATTTATATTACATACAAGAAATGTATTTTATTTTATGTACACTGCCCCCTCCAAAAAAATAAAGGGACAGTTCTATATCTCCCGTTCTACTGGGCCGATTGACGAAATTTAACTTGCGTTTTACATGTCTCGAAAGCCCGACTTAGGACGTTTATTAGATTTATATATAGCATTGTTCTAATATAGGTATTTTGACATAAAATCGGACTTTTTCTGAAATGACATGTCAGTTTTTTTTTTTTTTTTCCATATTTCCACTCTACGACTCAAAGTATGCCTAAATATTAACTTTTGTAAAATTTATTGCAAAATTTACGGAGAAATTCAAAAATTTACCCTGGTGCAATTTTTTTCAGGTTACTCCATTACTTACTCCATTCAGTTGCATCTTAGTTTATAGCAACTTATTTTCCTTTACTTTTTTTTACGAGCGGGGGAAAAAAAAAGTCATCGTTTATTATTTCAAATCATTCTAACAAAGTGCATAAACCACATTTGGCGTAATTATCGCTTGTAACAAATATGCCAAATTTCAAAATGCGCCAGTATATAAATTCACGTATGTCCTAGGAAATTTTGAATAAAAATTCCTATCTTTTTGCAGGTATGCTTAGAAATACATCTACTTTAAGATGAGGGTAAAAATTTTATAATTTGAGTCGTAGAATCGAAATATGGAAAAACATTTGCATGCGATTTCAGAAAAGTCCACTTTTGTGTCAAAATACCTATATTAAAACATTGCTATGTATAAATCTAATACATATCCTAAGTCGCGCTTAAGACAGGAAAAACGCAAGCTGAATTTTGTGAATCGGCCCAATAGAAAGGGAGATGTAAAACTGTTCCTTTTTTTTCGCTGTGTACTTTATTAAAAATGCATGTGTAACCCAGATATATATATATATATATATATATATATATATATAATGTTGTATGAAAGGATGTGAAATCTAAAAAGCTAAAAGCCTTCTTTGTCGTCATTTTACATCCTTCTACTCAGCTACAATAATATCCTATATATACATATACAAATTAATTTTTTTCATTCTATTATTCAAGTTCTCAAGATTCTACTTCACATTATTCTATTGATGCAGTCATGACCTACGAATTCTTTTAATTAAGTTATCTTTAGTCCCAGTTTTTTCCCCCCGAGTCTGAAATCGTGTTATTTACACGGAGAACTAAAGTATAAGTAAAATCACATATAATCCTTATAGAAGAGACTCGAATATCAAAAAAGTAGTCGGCAGTTAACGGAATAGTCCTTAATATTCCTTGAAAGGATCTGTTATCTGGAAATTCGTTATCAGATTTAGAGTTGAGGTTAATGGTTCCATGTTCTTGAGTGAAAAACTAATAAATTCTTCCGATTGCACGAGCGCTAAATACCGCTATCACCTTTTTTGAGTTACAGACACATGTAGGAATGTACACAACAACAGCAGGTTTATGTGAATTTCCTCACATTTTGGTTTCACTATTCTAATCAAGCATCCAACGAAAATCCGACAAAGGGCATGAAGTGGAATTTTTTATTGCCTTTTACAGCTGTGTGAAATGCAAAGAACAGCACAAAAGACTTTAATAAAACGGCAATAAAAAATAAATAAGTAATCTAAAATTGCCTCGATTCCTTCTTCCGTTCTTATCAATGCTACAATGTTGACTACTCGAAGTCTAGTAGGAGAAAAGTGTAGTTGGAGAATAATAAGGCAATTCCCATTCAGAGCCTTCTCCTGCTTGAAGTAATTATTGTCTTTTGCTTTTTCGGAATAGGACCTAATTTTGATGCTCAATCCGGCTGGAAGAGCAAATGTTTCAAAGGTTTTTGCATTGACAACTGCGATAAGAATCAAAAAAGTTTTAAGAGATTTCTAAATTTAGTTTGAAGCCATCTCAACAATCCATGGGAAAACATTAAAGTTCTACCAATAACTATTGCTTCTACTAGCATGTTTTTTATGTATTGCCTAGAACATTATTATCCTATGTACCAATGAATGTAGTATACTGCAGGAAATCATTAAAATATCAGTGACTATTACTTTAATTATTAAAGATACTGCACACATTATTAGAAATATGTAATAATAAAAACTTATTAAAAAGCAGGTAGCAGGCAATGATGCAAGACGTGTAAAAGATATAAACGTATTTCGCTCTTCTTCAATTGCTTTTCTTTTCTCGATAATGAAATGACTGCAAATTGAACCATATTAACACAGAAAATGACATTTTTTCCAATATGTGGCGAAATTCGCATCTTGTTAAAATTCTACACAGCGTCTTATCGCAGTAATTTTTTTTTTAAAAAAAAAAAAAAAAAAAGGTTTTAGATTTTATAATGCCCAAAGCGGCTTTTTTTAACGTTTTGTGCTACCTTTGTTTATTAAGTATCACGTTCTTTCCACTTCAACCGCATAAAATTCAGTTGAACAGCAATATCATAATTTCTCTGAAAACAACATGTCTTTAGAATTTAGTCTCGAGCGCTGGAGATAAAAATGCTTTTTCCGTACAGTGTTGCCATTGCTCGCTTTGAAATCCTTGCGTTTGTTAATAAAAAATTTTTTAACATTTCACAAAAGATGAAATAGACAATCGGGCTTCCATGTGCCCATGTTCGAGTGAAGGATTATGTTATTCAAAATCGGATGGCTCTAGGTAACGTTGTTTTATCACACTGCGAGAAACATACTTACATTTATGCAAATTCTTCATTATTTAATTTCTTTAAATATAATACAGGGTGCTAATTTGAAAAGTGAAACAACGCAGAAAGTGAATCAACACAAAATGCCAAAACGAAGTTAATAGTCATTTCTGGGCAAATAAATTGCCCCTTTGGACTAAAAAAACTCTCTGTGTTCTCCCTCAAGGCGATAGTGGAATGACAGAACTAATCAGGATATCATGATATTCTTTCGTGGTAACGGTACAGGGGTGCAGACCTATCATAGCAAGGTTCACAATAAAAAGTGAATGTCCGCTGATGAAAATTGCTCTGAAGCCACTCCAAACAGTGACTTTTCATGGACGCAATGGGATTTCTTGAAATCCACAGAAATGCTCGGATGCCCGAATTCGAGAACTGTGAGTGTTAGCAGTCCCATTTAGTTGAAAATGAGCCTCAAGTTTTCCCAGAATTCTCCACGTCCAAGCATCTTCGACCTCCATCCTGGCAAAAAAAAAAAAAAAAAGTCAGAGCAAATGCCACGCGCTTATTACAATGGTTGTATTTTGATTCCTGCAACCTTGTATGGGTTCGTTTTTTTTTTTTAATTTTGGTAAAGCCCTAGAGGGAGAGATGCCTTCGTGGAAGTCTTTCTAAGGAAAACTGGCTAATATACACGTCCCACATGGGAAAAATCAAGAAAATGTCAATGTAGCCAGCCTTTTCGCGTAATTGGAACCCCGAACCAAACTACCAGTGTTCAATGACTTACCGCCCGGCCATTGGTAGGCTCGTATTTTATATGGATAGAAATGAAGAATTTTCCTCAAGATCTGCTATATCATTGAGAGATTCAAATGCACTTGTTGCGCTATTCCCCGGGCGTTGCTACTTTTCGCCACTGTGCCAATGGCTACGAATACATTCATTAATTGTATACATTAGATATAATAGCATAATAATTGACATATTATATTCACACAAGATTCACACCAACTTCAACCATCTTTACAAAGAACATATGTGAAGGCGTAATAGGAATAAGAGGCAGGTGGAATTCCTTTAAAATAATAACAAGATGATATAATAGTTTAAGTACAGGAAAAATAGTTTGCTCTACTATTTCTACATGACGAAAGGTATTGTGCTATTTACAGTTTATAGATCATTCATATTTACTATGCAAGATATGTACATTAACAAAAATAAGTATAACCAATACATTTTAAACAGTACTGGAATGAAATTGCAATAGAGATGCAACAAGTACAATACAGTAAGGACACAACAGAACGTATAGGCAAAGATAGTTCACAAAAATGACTGTGATTTACAAATTTACCGTCACAGTATATATTAATCTGCTTACTGGGGTAGTAAAATAAGAACTATATATTGTATTATCAGAATCACCAAGAGATACAAAACTATAAATTATACTGTCAAAATCATCAGAAAATACTAAACAATCTTCAATTAAATTTGGTTTAACTGGTCATACTTATCAATGTGGTTACCTAGTTATTACAGAGATTTATCGTGAAGTAAAACATGGTAACATTAAGAGTGAGAGAGTGGTTAATACATAACACTTCCATACCTCAAGATATCATATGTTACAAAGCATAAGTAAGACAGCATAAGAAGTTTAGTACAATATAAAAATACACATTTCAAGTATTATAAGGGTATTGATACAAAATGAATAAAAAATACAATGTAATATAATAAGTAAAAACAGTGAAGCAATTGAGCTGCAGTGTTATCCTAGATTATTTACAATTAAGTTAAATAAATAGTTATGCAATTCAAAGAGTTGAGAGATGATTACAAATATTGCAGTGCAGTGTAAGACACTATCGACAATAGTTTCGTGGGTGAGGTCAACGACTGTAGTTGCGACATCAATTACTATCTGTTTTGACACCGGTTTCTGCCCGTTTCCAACCCAAACTGCTAATGATCCTGTTAATTCAAATTTCTGAATCATGCTTTTGAATGCATTAATTGACAGAGGACATTTAAGTAGGTTGCTACAACTTCTAAACTCGCAAAGAGCAGTGGTTGGTTTCGACAGTGAAGATAACTTCACAAGTGACGCACGCCTTGAGGTAAAGTCAGAGACTGAAGTACTGTCGCTTCTGTTGTTTACATAACCGAGCTTTTCGATTTTCAAATTTTACCTAAGTTCCACGCAAATTTTCATCTCTGTAGACTAGAACAGAGCCACATTTACCCCATCGGCAACTTTCGAAACTAATTTGTTTTAATAAAATCTTTCATTCCATGTCGTCATTAGCCCTCTATCAATTTTGGTAAGATTTCAGCTCATACAGCGAGCAGCAAATGGCTCTGACTGGTGTCAAATTAAGAAAAAAAAACCTGTATATATATCTGATCATTGCAGAAACATAATCCGTATTATTTAAAAAAACGTGTTAGCTGTTCGATGGAGCATGAAAGTACCATGTATGAACAGTTTACCTCCGTTTATTTGGAAAGCAGATACCATTTCCCTATATTCTTCTGAGTCTATTTCATAATATTTGCCAAAGTATTTCGATTTTTATTAAGTTTTTTCAACAAGAATTTATTCAAAGGCATAGAACTTTTGTTGTGAAAATGTTGTCGAGTATTCATTATTTATTTTTTCATACTTTTCTATTATATTAATCAGTGAACCATGTTTATAAAACATTTTTCTTTCAAATTTCACCAAAATCTTCCAAATATAATCAAAATACAGAATTTTTTTACATTTATTTCCCTTATTTTCATCTCATCATCAACTATAAAAAAATCTGTTGCACAACTAAATATTTTGCAATCTGAATATTTTGCATCATAACGATTTTGAGAAACCTAACTTGATATAGCAGATCTGAATTCTTTTAAATAAGGCAAAGCATTTTAAAATTCGCAGATATTATTTTAATAAACTAATAAATAAAACAAAAAACGTATTGCGAGATATAGAAAAGGATTGTGTTATAACATACGGTCAAACGTGTTCTTATGGTAAAAGGTCTCGTTTTTGCACACATAATCTTCAATGAAAATGCATTTAAAATAAAAGGAATTTTGCAGCTAATTTTAAACTGGTTTATTTAAACCTCATAAAGGCAGTACGTAATATGGATCGATAACAATAAAACGTGTTCACATTAAATATTTAGATCAGAACTCAGCAGCATTTATCTTTGAGAGATTTCCTAAACCTGTTACTTCCTTTAAAGAATATGTTAAAATGTCCTTTCTGTGGCTGAGATATTCAGCCTAATATCTGTATATATAAAGAAGAAAGTCTGTGTGTTTGTCCTTCTAATAACTCCTAAAGTTTGCTAACGATAACTATAGCTATCGTTACCAAACTTTCTAGAACTCTTCTCTGGTTCTAAAAAAAAGGTCGACGTCCACTTTTTCCAAAAACAAAACAAAACAACAACAGAAAAAAAAAAAAAAAAAAAAAGGCTAAAATCAGAGATATAAATTAAAAACGCGGAAAAACGATAATTTTCGCCCTCATTTTTCCGAGTGACAATAGTCTCGCAAGTTGGAGATGAAAATCTGCTCCATTTCGAAAGTTGTTGCCACTGCTCGCTTTCAAATCGTAAAGTTTGTTAATAAAAAATTTAAGACGTATATTAAAAAAAAAAGATGTAAAATGCCTCGAATTTACAAAATAAAGTAAACAGTATATGATAAATTGATGAATATATGCACAACATTGAACTGTGTGTAAGTAAAACGATGGAGACAAACAGAAGTTTGACTCGAAGATTTGTTTAAAAAAAAAATCTGTCTCATTTTCTATATAATTTCCTTTACTTCAATACACTTAGCACTGTAATTCTCTCAGAGCAGGATAACAATAACAAAATTTGAAAACTTTCAAATTTTATATTACGCCCAAAAAGTTTTTGTTTTTTTATTTACACATGCGTAGAAGTTTCTAAAGCATTTGGACTAACGTCTCTTTAAAAATATTTAAAAGCAACTTACCTTTAGAATTACCGATAGACAGTCTCGAGAGCTGGAGATAAAAATGTTTCATTCCGTATAGTGTGCTATTGCTATTTTTCAAATCATTAAGTTTCTTAATCAAAAATACGTTAAAGTTTGAAAAATCTGAAATAGATAATGAAACAAATTCGAAATCTAAGATTCGGGCTTCCCATATTTGGGTGGAGAACTACGTTATTCAAAATATTATGGCTCCGGGGCCTTCATGTTTTCACAGCGTGAGGAATATACCTACATTCATGCACATTTTCCTTTATTTAATTTCTTTTAAAATAATATAGGTCGATAATATTTATTGGCAACAATTTGAAAAGTGAAGTAGCCTTTTACAGAGATTGAACGTTTCGAGACTAATAGCTTTTCTGAAGCCTTTTTTTTTTTTTTTTTTTTTTTTTTTTTTTTTAGATTCTCTTTAAAATTCCCTTTCGTTTTGCAGGGCATCTTGGAACCTTTCAGTTAGGGCCCAAACGCTCTCTATTAACGCAAGATCTAAATTCCTTAAAAATATTTTTAAAAACAAATTTAATGTACATTTCTTAGGGCCTCTGGATTCCGTAATAGCGGAAGTCTTAATGAAGCCTTGAATTCCTTAAAAAACAAGCCTTAATGCTGTTGTTTCTTAGCTGAGATAAAGCAATGAGATGCAGATAAAGTCTTACTACATTAACGGTATTTTGTTGAACTACAAATAAGACTACTATATTAACACCAAATACTTTATTTTTCAAATCTAGTAATAAAACTAATTTTCTCTTAAAACAAAACATCGGATTCTAAATAAAAAAAAAAAATGTCCATTATGAGAACTGCTGCCACAAAAAGACAGTGAAGTGAACATTCACTATTATTAAAATACTTGTGAGTTACTTTTAAATTAATTATTTACAATTTATGACGTTACAATTCTATACAAACTCTGAGGAAAATTAATAGTTTTATTAAAATTAAGTTGCTAAAAAACTGAAAATATGCTGAAGAATCGATATCACGGACAGTTTTCTTAAGATATTTTTTAGGAAAATTGTCCATGAAATAAATATATCTAAGTTTACAACAATATTCAAAAACCAAAAAGGTAGTGCCCTTACGACAATATTTTCATCTATGGATCATTTGGCATGTTTACGACCCTGTTGTTAACATGTAAAATGAACTTAAGTCAAGTGCTTTAACCTCACATACACGATGATAACATACAAACGTCAATATTACATTCCATGGGCCAATTTTCCGACTCTAAGCGTGACTAGAAACAGCCTTTTTCCGAGATTTGTGTCTAAAATGTGCTACTTAAAGCAATAGCTTAGTTTCTTTAAACTTGAGATACATCATAATTCGGTATCGTTAAGATTACTTTAAGTAAGGGTATTTTGTTGTATACACTTGTTTCCGAGTCATTTGGTTGACTTTTAACGGTTTTAATTCCCCATAAAGCAAATACGTTCATGGTTTACAACAGATATGCATGAAATTATTCTTGCAATAGATAAATTTCAAAAATGAATGCTTGAAATGTGAAACGGTATACTTATGTTTTATAATATGTTTCCATGCTTTGTTGATAGTAAAACAAATATAACTTTTCGGGTCGATTCATCCTAGTTTCAAATTTATATTTTAAAACTGTGGAAGCTGAGTTAATAGTTGAAAATATACGTGCTTACATATAAGGAATGCTATACAGGAAATTATTATCTATGCTTCATTGAATGAAAAGTTACAAAATTGGCTTCTCTCTCTTCTTATATGACGGATTAATTTTTCAGAAAATATATATTTTAAAAAACGAAACAAAAATTTTTTTACGTACCATAAATCTGTACCGACAATTATTTAGAATTTTAAAATCGCATATCTTTTGCAATCTTGCATCCAATGTGATTTATTAAGTCTAGTTTATATATATATTAATTAAAATATAACTCCCAATATACGTTTGTTTATATATACAGGGTGTACCGTAAATGTTGCGACAAACTGTTAGGGGAAGTAGGGCACATCATAAGGATTAAGAATTGCATAGGAACCCATGGCCAGAAATGTCAGGAGTAAGAAGTAGCAGAGGTAGAAGATGGGAAAAGAAATAAGAGTGATTGATTTGAAACATTTATTGTACACAAATGGTGTACAACAGCTTGAATGTTACAACAGATGCTCGAAGTTTGCACCATCAGACGCCAAACATGCCAGACACCAATGGACCATTTACTGCCGGACATATTCAAACGCATCGGGAGTTTCTTTGATTGTAGCAGCTGCGTATGCGAGTCTTGCCAGGAGATCCATTTCAGACACAATAGGATCGTGATACACGACACTTTTGATGGCTTCCCACAAAGAGAAATCAAGGCTTGATAAATCCAGTGAGCGTGGGGACCAGGGAACTGGTTCACCACGCCCAGTCCATCGATGCGGGAATGATCTCTTCAAATGGCTACGAACACCCAGTCCAAAATGACATTCAAATGAACACCCAGTCATTCCACATCATCATTTTGCAAGGACTTGCATCTATACAAATTGCCTCTCGACAATGCATGCACTCGCGAACACAAATAATAGATCATCACTAGCTCAGGAAATTCTTATAAAGTCCTCCAATGCCCAAGGCTAACACTTCTTTATAATCTGGATCAAGGCCCATGTTGGTTATAAGGGAAACGAAGAGGCTGACATATTAGCCAAGGAGGCAGCATAGGGAATCAATGCCAAGGAAATAAGCATCCCCTGGCCAACTTCTCACCTCAGATTAAAACTACAGATCACAACTAAAGACTCATGGTAACAATGGTGGGACGCTGCAAATACAGGTAGAAGAGTTACAACCTCTTCCCCAAAGTTGACTCTCCTCCAAACTATCTCTCCAGGCTTATCACGTGGTTTCTCACGGGGCACGGCTCCTTTCCCACTTACCTCTTTGCAAGAAATTTCTCTTCATCAGATTCCTGTGCATGTGGTGAAAAGAGTCACCGAATAAAATTACGAAGGTTATTGATTTTTTGGCTGCTAGAAGTCAAGAGCTATGTAGTGTAATTTCCTTCAAAGAAATGCTCCAGCAATAGCAAAATAAAGCAATTAAATGCAGATATAATGTACGCGGGCGTACCTTTATAGTAAAGAAATAAGCATCGTAAACCATATGAAGCACAAAATAGGTCACTCACAAGTAAGGTAAGGGGCTCCTATCTGTTTACTTCAGGTAAATAATAAATGGCACTTACATTTCTATGTAACATAAGGTCACATTACCTGATAAGTGAACACATATAATAAATTGCCCACATTGAGTTGGTAAAATATGAACAATGTAATGTATCACAGAATATAATTCATGTAAACTAATTATTGGAAAAACTCGCGAAATTGCATACAATAAACTGACAAAAATAAGTTGGCAATGTATCAGCATATGTATGCAGATTTATCTAAAAGTACGTAGCACGCATAAGTATTCCGATGAAGCATTTTTTTTTTTTTTTTTTTTTTTTTTTTTTTTTGTGTGTGGTGTGTGTGTGTGTGTTTTGTTTCGTTTTCAGACTTATTTATTTATGTCTTTTTTATTATTTTATATTCTTTTCTAATCTTGACTGCTGTTTGTAAAAAAGGATGTAAACAAGTCATGATTGTAGGCATGATCTATATACTAGAAATAAGTTGCTCCTAGCCACCACAATTTATAATGTCATGATCAATTTTTACACGCAAATAACAATATAGTGCTAGACAATAATGTAATTTCTGAAAATCAATTAACCCAAAAATATACGTTACAGCACATAATGAATAGTCAAAATTGAGCTGTTAGAATTTCAGCACAACTTTACAACAGTACTTAAATGTAAGCTTTGTAAACAATTTTATAGTTTTTAATTAGATCATGTTTACAAAAATGATTTGTAACGTGGGAACATCACGCCTGTTTCTAATGCAATATATAATGTCCTGAAACATGTTGCCTGTACCCACTACAATAGATAACATCTTGAAATATGCACCTGCACAACTATGTATATAGCAATGTATATCATGTAATTTAATTCCTTTTACTTGAGTTAATTTGACGCTGAAAGATAGGAGTACCATTGATGCCGCCGCCGGTGGCAGTACTTGTAGTGCTCGTTGGAGTCACAATTCCCATCACGACTCGAGGAAATGATGCCAGAATGTTGTTAGTTTTCTAGTTAGTATGTGGGGCTAATACCTACTTACTTAGGGTAACTATTAAGTGGCCCCGCTCATTTCTACATAATATAACATAACTTAATATGTTTCGCCTCCCATTTGGTGAAACATCATTTTGAAGCAAATCGGGAAGAAGTGCTCCAGAAGAATCAAATAACTCGCGGCATTCAAATGGTTCGTCGGTGTCAGGCATATTTGGCATCTGATGGTGCAAACTGCAAACATCTGTTGTAACATTCAACCTGCCGTACACCATTTCTATTCATGTCCAATAAATGTTTCAAATTAATCACTCTTGCTTCTTTTCCCATCTTCTACCTCTCCTACCACTTACCCCTCACATTTCCGGATATAGGTTCCTATGCAATTCTTAATCTTTATGATCTGCCCTACCTGCTCTAGAAGTTTGTCGCAACATTTACGGTACACCCTGTATTTTACAGGGATAGACCGAAACATTTTATTTTCGCATTTAGAATGCACTGTTCGTTTTAAGTTCAACATTTTATTTACAAGTACTGTTACTTAAGTTTTCTCCTATTTTGACGCATATCATAATATGTTTTAATAATAAAGTAGGATTTAAAAACGTAGCAAAAATATTTTTATTCAACATTCACCATCATTGCATGTTGAATGTCGACATTTGCCGTTGTAAGTGAGAAATAAGAACAGACTGGAACGAAAAGAGAAACAACGCACTTACAGTGAACAGAATTTAAAGTGAATCAAAGTAGACACGTATTTCGAGACTAATAGCCCTTTTCAGCTTTAAAAAAATCTGAAATATAAATTTAAAAAAGTAGCCCAATATAGACAGAAACCATTAATAATAACAAAAGGAGCGGTTTTTACAATGGGGCGAATATTCTTCTCAAATCATTACGACGCGTAATATGGCACTAACACTTTTACACGCTCTTCTTTCATAACAAGACTTTCATGTGACAGTGAAACTAACGATCAATCTTCCTGTCATAGTTTCAAAAGGACACGACATAAAAAAAAAAGAAAATGCCAAAACGAAAACAGAAAATAAAACAAAGCAAAACACTTACTTTCACCTCCTTTTTTCCCAAGAAAGAAATCAATTTCATGTCAACAAAAGCGTGCTCTAAGTGTTCGGAAAAATTTTCCGCCTATTTGTGGTGACGACAGGGTGTTTTATCTTGTTATATTTTGATGGATGGAAGTCGCGTGATTAATTGGTGCGATACCGAAAGTGTGATGTATGAAAGCGGAGAAAAAAGATGAATGAGAATTTTTAACGGGGAAACTGAAGTTAGGACGTCGCTGAAACGGCCTTGGTCAGGTGATACGTTGTACAATGTCACCTTAACTATGGATTGGAGAAGCACAGTTGATATGCGGAGAAAATTATTTTGTGCCATTTAAAAGTTTTCAGACTGTCTGAGGCAAGTTATGTGGAAAACATATTAAATGACTTAAAACTTCCTTATTATGTTATTTGTCCAAATATAATGAAGAAGTTTGTAAAAAGCCATGCCATAAAAATAAGCATAAAATTATCGGAATTTCAGACGAAAAATGTGTATATATGAGTTAGTACAAGAACGCGCTTTTCCAAACTGATTTAATATGTATTCGCAAGGTTTGAAAACTGTTTTAACAATTCGCACCTTTCTGTTTCTTTTTTTATTCTTTAGTTCTTGAAAATTTAAATAAAAAAGGGAGGGAATAAAATCTTGTAAAAGGAGCCATAAACATCTACTTTATTTGCGAACACTCCGATCTGAATAACTAATAATCACTATAAATGTCCGTTTCACGTTTCAAACTGTTGCCACTAAATGTTAGAGTCCTGCATTATATTTGAAGAAATTAAATAATGAAAAATCTGCATAAATGTATGTATGTTTCTAGCATTGTGAAAAACCGATGGAACCTAGAGCGATCAAATTTTGAATAACGTAATCACCCACCCGAATAAACCACTTCTAAACCCGAACCTTGAATTTCGAATTTATTTTATTTTGTGTTTCAAATTTTCTAAGCCTTTAGTGACTTTTTGATTAACAAACTGAATGATGGAATAAAATATATTTATCTCCAGCGCGCGAGACTGTCGCGAGAAATTCTAAAGAAAGGCTGTTTTAAAATATTTTTAGCCCAAATGCTGTCGAAACTTGTACGTACAGTGGGTAAAAAAATATTGGTAATTGTCTGTAATTGATGATATTAGTTAACAAAGGAAATGGTTGACAATTTTTGCGGAATATAACGAACACAGGAGGTAATAAACACACAAATAATAATGAAACTTTCACTTTGATTTGGCTTTTAGACAAAATATGCAACAAAAACGTTAATTTGCATGTCAAAAAAGTATTGGCAAGATCATACAACAAAATTTAATACTTTGTATTCATACCTTTTGCATTTATTAAAGCTTGTAATCTATTTCTCATTGAGAAAAAAAAAAGTCTTGGTTGCACTATTTGGAATTTTGTGCCATTCTTGCAAGAGTATACGCTTAAGTTCATATTTAGACGAAATTTTAAGTTTCCTGAATTCTAAGTCAAATTTGTGCCATAAAATTTCAAATGGATTTATGTCAGGCGATTGAGGCGGTCGGTGTCTTTAAGTGGCAAGGAGTGTTATAGATTAATCACTTCTGGGGGACGTACGCCGTATGCTTAGAATTATTTTCCTGTTGAAACACAAATGTTGTTCCTAAACCAACTTTTTGGGCCCACAAACTACGACACTCCCTCCACCATGTTTCACATTGGGGTGTTAAATGTTGTTTATTCCTTTCGGTATTAGGCTTTCTCCAAACATATTGTAGTCCATCCACTCCCATAAATGTTAAACTTAGATTCCTAGGAGAAAATAACCGTGTTCCAAAACTCGTTTGATAAATTAACATGAGCTTTTGAAAACTCTCTTTCCCCTGTTTATTTCTGAAATGAAAGGTTTCTTTCTAGCTGCCCTTCCATAATAACTTCCTTCGTGTAAAACCTTCCTATAGTCTTTACACTAAAGGTTTCATGCAAGATATTAGCAACATCTGTGGCTAATAGGAGTTCACTTATTTTAGGGTGTTTCTTAAGCTCTTTGATAATGACATGTTGTTTTCCCTTGCAAAAAGTATTCGAGGCCGTCCACTTCTAATCATATTGTGCGTCGATCCTGTGTCGTTAAACGTATTTATAACACTTCTAGCAGTAAATAAACTTATGTCCAGTTGTATTCCTATAGCACGATAAGTTAAAACCTTGTTTCTGAGCTGAATAATCATGTTTTTAACATTAACATCCAACTTCTTCGAATTCGAAGCTATTTATCACAATATTAATAAGGTAACGTTTTAAAAGTTTTTAAGTAGTATTGCAGACTTTATGCTAACAGAGTTTATTATCAGTCTAAATACATAACCTGAACATAACAAAATTTGCGTAGTAGTTAGAATTTTTTCAATACTTTTTTGACACCCAAATTTACCATTTTTGTTGTATATTTTGTGTAAAAGGCATATTAAAATTAAAGTTTCATTAGATTTATGTGTTTATTAACTACTGTGTTTGCTATTATTATTATTATTATTATATTAGTATTATAAGGGCAAGTCTCGATCCTCCTAGCCGGCCTAGTTATCAAAAAATGGGACTGGCCAGAAAAAAAAAAAAAAAAATATATATATATAATATATATATATATATATATATATAAGGGAGGGGGGACATATAAAGTCCAAAATATGAGTCTTAGTGCCGAATTCCAATTCTTTGTTCGTATTTATAATCTTCATTATTGTCTCTGCAAAATCTTTCAAATTTGAATAGTTCCTTTTAAAATCTTCCTTAAAATTCTTTCTATATTTCTCTCTTGCACTACTGTGTTTGTTATATCCAACTAAAATTGTCAAGTATTTTCTGTGTTAGCTAATATAATATAGGTATATTGCTAATACTTTTTTTTTACCACTGTATCTGCACATGGAAGAAAAAAGCGCTCCTTTGGGCTTAATATAAAATTCGAAAGCTTTCAATTTTTTTATACATTTCATTTACGTCTTCATATTTTATAAGACAATTAAATTACAGTTTCCTGCTTTATTTTTTTCATATATAATGTAAATATATTTAACGCTACTATTGATGGAATAATTTTACTCTTCATGCAGTGCTGATTTGCAGTGCAAAAGTAAACACATTTGGAAGCATTCGAATTTACATATTTGAAACTAAATGGAATATATTTTCTCCCATTTTCAATTGCATTTCATTCAGCTGCATTCAAACTCATTTTCATCATCGGATAAATGAATATGTATTATTTGTAAGTATCAGTTATCGGAATAACATTAATCAAACTACATAAAATGTCGTATTAAAGCAAAGAATCAATTGAATATTCTTAAGCATTCTTGTTACTGTCAGAAAGTATTACTGCCCATGGCGCATATGATATCTCCTTTTATCAAACATCAGTGCTACTCAGTTATCTTAAATAACATTGATCGTCTGATGATTAACAGAGAAAGTGCTTAGAGAGATATCTTAGCAAAATTAAATTATAAATGAATCTCACTTCATGGTAGTAAATTCCGTTTTCCAGAATACATAATTTTCTGCCTGTTAAAAAAATATTATTTTATATCTTTTCAATCAAACGCCGCTGAGCCTATCGAGACAATGCGAAATTATGTTGTTTGAGACGATTGATGAATAGAATGAAGAGTACTGGGGAGGGGGGAGAAGAAGAGGATATGGATAATGACCATCGAAAATGCCGAAGGCTGATCGAAATGATCCATTAAGAGAACACGGAACATGTGACAGGAAATTCTAACGTTTCGCATTTATTGATGAAAAGCACTAAGTTAGTGATTGAATGTAAAAGAGGGGATGGCAAAACGTAATTGGAAAGAGGAACTTCAAATGCTTATTTTTTATTATTGGAAACAGCTTTGGCGCTTTTTTGTAAAAGTCGGTGTTTGTAAACGAAGAAAAATAATTGCTTTCTCTTAGCAGTTACCATACCTAAAAAATCATCTTGACATTTGAAACGATAGGCATGCATATATCATAAAAGTTACAATTTTATTCCTAAGAATTGTTGGAATAATTTACATCGTAGGAAAACAAGCGCCAAAAGATTCTGTCTGGGAAGATATGTACGCCAACTCCATATTTCCAGCCAGGAAACATATTTTCGTCATCGGATATTTCGACTGTCATAAAAATAAATTTAAAATTCAAATTAATGTAACTGCACTACGCCATAACAGAG